GGCTATGGTTACAAGCGACTTCTTGCCTTTAAATATGGTAAATGGACTGATTCTTATATAGCCACATTCACCCAATCACACCCATTCTCTCAAGCACTTTTTCTATACTGAGTGCTTTTCTAACTTCATTCACACACATTCATACTCCAGTGGATGCATCGGAGAGCAACTTGGGGTTAGTATCTTGCCCAAGGATACTTGACATGCAGACTGGAGGAGCCAAGGGTCAAACCACCAACCTGACATGCATGAACTTCTGCATGCATGTCAAGTTCATACAAGAGAGAGGCAAAGCATGATAATGGATAAGAATTAACTGCAATTTTAGTGGGTGCAGAAAACATGTACAAGTCCCACATGCAAGGTTATTCTCTTTTATTGCACAGAGTACATAGCAGTAAGTCTTTTTTAAAAGGTTTGTATTCTATGTGTTAGCTAAAGTTGAATCAATATTGACAATTAATGCTGAGTTTACTTTGTGCCTTATATGAGCGGTCAATGGAGCTCCAATACCAGGATTCATCATGGAGCAAAGCCTCCATTTTAATCTAGTTGACCAAGAATATGAATATGTGTGGACCCTGATGAGGGAAGAATTAATTTTAATTACCTCATCATATACATCATCATCATAGACAGCATAAAGATTTGTGATACATTTGATTTTCAAATCGAATTATTCAGCTGTAACATGACAAACTGTACAAAATGAAGGTGACAGAAAATCAAGATAAAAATATGGGAAAACAGATACAATGCAGTTTGAAACGTTTATTTTTTTCAGTAATTATACTGTAAAATTTTAATGGACTGATGGGATGTGACAATCTAAATCTGGATCCATGATCCTTATCCGTTCTGGATACATCTTGCAGTGCAAGTCGGCCCATACATCATTTGATGGTCCATTGTCATACCTGTGATACCTGCAGGTATCACACGTTCTGAGTAGAGCCACTGAGACTGATTTAGGTTTTCAGTGGAAAATATGTTGAGGTTCAGAATCAGAATTTCAGAAACTTAAAATGTTGTTTGACATAATTTAAAACTGAATCTCAATCTGTGAACTAATTTCAACATGAAATGTTCAGAACACGACCACGCTCTGTGCAGGCTGCATTTAAAAAGTATGTTTGAATTTAATTTAATTCTGTTTCAAAATCATTTCAACCTTAACTTCACTCAAATATTCACATCATCTCCAAACCCCAACCATCAGAGACATCTTTCCATTAGTGTGAACAGTTAAAACACAACAAATAAGTGATCAGTAATCATCAAACTTTACATGGATGTTGTGTTTTTGTTTTGTTTATTGTGATTACAACAGTAACTTACAGTAAGTGTTTCCAGTGCAGGGAAGCTGGCAGACAGTGTGATAGCTGCTTTACAGTCGACATGGAGTGATAAGTATGAATGAGGAAATGAGGGTTCATAAACTCACTAATCTTGATTACTGGAATGATGGTTTGACTACAATAAGATAGTCAGATCGACAAACATACTGACTCTAAAAAGTAATTCATCAGGCCTTTTACCACCACTTGATTAAATCCATGGCTGCAACATAAAAATTCTAATTTATTGATTAAGATAGACCTTCTAAGTTGCAAACTTTATTTTTTTTTGGGTTGTGTTGAATTAATAATGTTGGTAATTACATTAAATTAATTTTATATGTAA